GGCCGGGACGACCGCCTCCATCTCTTACCGAGGTGCCTGGAAGAGCATTGACAAGCAGATCGCCCGGGCAATAAACGCCCTGTGATTGCGATTCTGGCTCAATCTGGTATATGCCATAGCTATATTGGTTTCGACTCCTCACCTGTTTGTCCGGCAGATACCTTCAGCCATATCTACTTGAGTCTCGCAATCATGAGTCTCGGGTACATTGCGTTCCCGATGGTCCCACGAAACACTGCTCAGATTACAACAAATTTCCGACGTCCGGGACATTTTCGTCGACACCAGTGGGCCGATCCACAACCTCACAAAAGAAGTGGGGGAGTTGCTGTCTGAGGAGGAAACGAAAACTCATTTGTTCCCGATGATCCAGTTCGGTGTGTAGGTACATTGCCGAGACGAGCAGCTGAGGAATGACTCGCGCTCATATGTACTGACGCTAGGTCTCGAGCCAAAAACACCCGGCTGAATGCAGTGTTAGTAACCATACGGGAAATCGGTGAAACCAAACTTACGGACAACTTCTCCTCTTCGTTTTCGTGCCACAAAATCATCCGCCAAGGACCAGAAGTCCGCGAGACCTTTGGCACCACCCTCCCAGGCGGTAGTGTAGTCTGTATACTGTGTCATCACGAACCGCACGTCATCAATGGGAGCCTTCCGCGCCCATTCACGTCCGGATTCCTCCACCGTTTTGTGAAAGGCCACGAGCAGGACGTGGAGGCGAGGGCACTCCTCCAGCAGCTCCTTCACCAGATCCCAGGGCACCTGTTCGTACAGGGCCAAGTGAGTGAGCGTGGGTAGCAGCGGTATCTGCGCGCGTATCCGTTCCCCAACTTCGTCGAAAATGTTGAGGTGCGTGATAGACGCAAATGCGGGGTGCGTTAAATCAATCCAGTCTGATCCACCAAACAAGCGGGCCAGCACTGCCGAGAATCGGCGTAGTTGGATTTTCTGGAGAAGAGGGAGGATCGCAGGATCAAGTGCGACAGATCCTAGCACGCCGATGACGGCCAAGTCCACGAGGCCGGTGCATAGGTTCAGTACGTTCCTTGTCCCGTCGAAGTCCCAGGCCGCAGATGTGTCCAGCAATATGTGCCGGACATTGTGGAAGAAACTCGGTGCTGGTTCCGATTTGGTTGCCCTCAGAAGCGCACTAGACATTCTTGACCATGCTGGATCGCAGTTGACGCGAACCACTCTGTATAGGAGGGGCTCGATCCTGGGCAAAATTAGGTGATAGGAGAACGGCGGCGCGGAAGGAAACTAACCAGACATGAATGCGATAAGCGACTCGCGAAAGTGTGGGGATTTCCTCAGGGTGCATCAGCGCTGTCGTCTCGAAGATCTCTCGTTCCAGTTCCGGAGGGAAGGCAGGTGGGGTGTGCATCATATCGTTGTAGGGCGAGGTGGAGGTCGCGAAAGCTTGTAAAACGTTGGCACGTTCCATACTCTGGTCGTACCTTTTATACTCCGTAAATCTCCGGTCTTCAGTGAACCCCGTCTCCGAAACGCGACTGGCCATGTTGGCTGCCAATCACTGGCAAAATGTTAGTCTCTGTGCCGGTCTAGCGCGGCTGTCGACACAGCTTTATCAAAATGCCGCCGTTCGGACTCACCGAAACTCGTTTCAGGAACGATTCCGTTCGCGTGTTGCGGCGGCCTTCCTTGCGCCAGGAACGATCCGAGGTAAGTCCATATCAAATCCCTACCCTTATTGCGAAGTTCGCGCCATTCCGCCGGTCGAGCTGAATTTAATGAAATCTGCCTGAGATGATCTCCGCGAATATGTGGAGGGCATAGTACACACAGAGCGAGGTACGGTACTCAATAAAGAATTTGGGGCTATGTTATCTGGGCAAGTCGCAGGGTGGCTACTGCCCCAATTTCCGCGAGATTCGGAGCTCGAATGTCGTAACCCAATCCGCTGACACAGGGGTCAAGGCAGAGATCTAGAGACACTACGCCTTTTTTGAGTGGCACTCGTAATGAATGAATCGGCATTCACCTAGTCCCTACCGAGGCCCGGACTTCGTCCGACCCGTTTGGCACATTGTTGGTGGGACGATGCGACCGCAGAACAGGGCAAGGAGGAGACAAGAATCATGGACGCTGTTGGAACATGCCAGATGCTGTTGGAATCATTCGTATACTCGCCACAACGAGGCGTCGCGGCAGAGTAGCGCAGTGAGAGTAACTCTGATGGGCTGCTGCCAATCCTATGCGCTGACCGGCACAGAAGGAGGGGGGTTTTACCTCAATATTGCCGATGACAATGATCGTCCGGTGCGAAGCAGCATACTCCGATCTCACCTCTCCCCAGCTGCCAGTTCTTTCGTGCCCGGAGCGGCGGTGTCGATCATCATGAGGGTGTCCTTGAGATTGGATAGGGTGAGAGTGCAGATGCTAAATTCGTGGCCTTTGCGATGCTGGTGGGCATCCACTGTGTGACGCAAGAGGGTAAGAGACCAGTGCGGCTGTGCAGGAAGGCACGTGTCTTTGCCGAACTGCCGAACCACCGAGTCGGCCACCCTCGGAAGTTCAGTTCAACTTATAAATCGAGTTTCTACGTGCTCACGAAATAACTGCAGGTTGACTAGCTGATATCGCTTTGCTCGAATCTCTGTTTTAGAGAAGCGATCCTCAGCGCGTAAGGAAAAAAAGATACAGCTACCACCCAGGCTCAAATCGAACGAGCGTCTCCTCCGTGTAAGCTCGGACGTTACAGGATGACACCACTCTATACAGGTGCAGGTGGATTTCAGCTGCAAAGAGCGCTTCAACTTGACCCGCATTGCATTTTAACAGAGACACTCACATAGTTGAGCTTCGATTTCACCTTTTTCTGGTCCTTCTTGGGCTCCACCGTCGGGTTGGCGGCTTGTATCGCGTTGATAACGGGGGTCCAGACCGAAGGTGACCTCTCGCCGCAGGGCTTCTCTCTCATGCCTGGGAACTTGGTTGCAGCACCAACATTTAGAGTCTACTCGAGTGCGAAAATAACAAAGCGGCATTTTGCCATTCCCATGGCCCGGGCCCGAATCGAACGAACATCGTCTGCGAGATAGATGCATTGGGCGCAACTGTAGTCCATACACCAGGTCTTTCTTTCAGAGGTTGGAACTTGATGAGAGCCACAATATTTCGGGTGAACTGGCATTGATGTCGGCCAATTGAATTTTATATAGCAGGAACCAAGGGGGAAAACCCTAAGGGTCTCCCATGTTCTTCCTACCGTTCCCACTGCTTCTTGGTCCTAACAAGCAAGATCCTCCGGCCAGGTCCTGTCTCGTTGAGCAGCTCGGCATCATCACGGCCTGCTGCTTTGCATCTGATTGGCTGTCGATCCACTCGCTCTTGCGCACAACCATGATCATCGTCCGGCCGATTCGACGTGGAAGGATGTACAGGACGCATCAGCGGGACAACGGCGAGGCCGGTCTATTGTCCACCTCCATCATACATGAAAACTGAGCGCTGATTCAATGTATTTATATGTAGTACGCCGCAGACACTCCACTAGCACGACCGCCGCTCTGCGTACAACGCGAAATACGCAGCAATTACTGCGCTCTTCCAGCGGGCCCGTCAACATCACCACCGAAAGTCCCGCCGTGCGTTTCTCACCGCGCCTCGCCGTGGGGGTGATGACGCTCAGCGAGGCCTGCTGCTTCTTCGGCGATCTCGGCGATACGTTTAAATTTGTCGGCGATGTCGGCACCGCGGACGCGGACGGGGGCGGGCTATACTGACCGAGTACGAGCTCGACCAGCCCGCCTGTTGTACCCCTTGCTGTCCATCCGGCGTATCTTTTGGTGAAATTGCAGCGCGCGAATTTGCTGTGCTCGTGCTCGCTCTTCATAATCGTGGGCTTGGAAATCCGTAGTGCGCCTTCTCTCCTGTTTCTTTCCGCGGCCCGGCTCTCCGAGAATCCCGATTCAACCTCCCGGGGCCGTAACCATCTTTCTGCGTCCTCGAGCACCCGCCCTACCGCAATGACGCGCTGAAGTCCACCTCCCGCCCGCAAAGTGCAAAGTCAAGAAGCAAACTCGCTCGTGTCTTTCAACGCACATGGCTACTGCTTAGATACAAATTGGCTCTACCAAAGATAATCAAGACCTCACCACAGCACATACCGACCCGGTGGCGGACGGTCCGTACCTGCTCCTTGTGGAAGATTGCCGATGACCGTTCCCGCAGAAGCACCCGTTCGACTCGGGCCTGGGTCATGCGCAAACCGCCCATTTCTTTTTTTTTTGCACGCAAGCTCCTGTTCGACGCGCGATCTCATCCCTCCTTGGACAGCTCAATTTATTTCAATCCCCCTATTAGTTCGCGCACCTATGACCCTCTCCACAAGCACCCAGGATATTCATGGCGAGTTCCTCTCCTTGTACGGATTCGGTCGCAGATGGCCTGCGCCTGCTTCTCAGCGACTCAGTGGCGATGAATTATTACACCTCCCACAATCGGCATGTATCTTTCGATTATGGCTCAGATGCGGTGGAAATCAAGCCATGTACAGCGCGAATAACGCCCAGGCGGCACTAGCCAAAGTGCCCTGGATATTCAAGTTCGCCCCATTCCTAGTACAGACTCGATGGCAGATGGTCTGCGCTTGCTTCACGTCACGTATGTACATCCGACGAAAACTATAAGCAGAAGTCGCCCGTTCGATTCGGGCCCGAGCAACTTGCACGAATCGCATTTGCTTTTTTGCCGGTTTGGGCTATGCCTACTGTTCAATGGCTCCCCTAGCAGTATAATCGAGCATGCGAGGACGAAACTTCGTCGTGATCTTGCAGCTCATTAGCGCGGGCGTGAGCTTCAATTAACCGAGCACATTTTGCCTATTATTCATTTGACCGAGATCTGGATACGATGCGTAGGTGCCGACCATGCGAAAGCGTTCTTTAATACCTGAGACTCTGGTTAGAGCGGCGAAATTCTGCTCGAGCGCGAGACATAATAAAAATAAAAAGGCAAGAGAAGCGAGACTATGGCCCGGGCTCGAATCGAACGAGCATGTCCTGCTATAATGTGCTAGCTGAGGCGCTGATTTCACACAGGTGCAGACTATCCGCTACCGGGCCTTCTCCTCCTACCTGTGGGCTCGATTACAGCAGCAGCAGCATGATTTGAATTGCCCGTGGGATGAAAATAGTTAGTGACGGCTAGTCAAAGCCCCGAATCGTCCGAGCATCTCTTGCATACAATAGTGAGTCCGAACCCACTGTGTGCAGCCGCGCACGACACACCGAACCTTCCTCCCACACCTGAGACTCGCGTTAGAAGTGCGAAATTCTGCTCTAGCGCGAGAAATAAAAGAAAAAGAGAACAATCCCGCATGGCCCAGGCCCGAATCGAACGAGCGGCTCCAGCATTACATTCATATGGAACAAGTATACGGTGTGCGGGCGCGGACCTCCCGCTACCGGGCCTTCCTACCATACCCCGGAACTTGGTTAAAGTAGCAGGATTGAACTCCAGCACGAGAATAAAAAGGTGTCCCAGTTCACTCTATTCTTATGGCCCGGGCACGAGCATTGTCCTGCGATAATCCATGTATGCAGTAATTATTAGGCGCAAGTGTGGATCATCCACCGGGCCTTTGTCCCGTCCCTAGGAAGCTGATGAGGGCCGCGAAATTTCAGTTGAATTTCAATTGAACTAGGGATGAACTCGCCGGTAACAGACCATATGAGGCACTCCCATTGATCTCCTCACATTCTCCTTCTTATTCAATAAAAAATTTCCACAAACGGTACTACGCAGCCTGCTTTCAAGCTCGATACACTCTCTGCATCAAGATCACGGCATACTCCGAGGTGGCTGTGCATCTCATTGATCCGCCGCCACCTCTCTCTGACGACAATTATCATCCCGCCTGACTCGACCCTCAGCCAAGAAGGCGGACGCCGTCGTCGCGTCGTTCGCTCTGAGTTTCCGTCGTAGCTCAATCACGATAACGATTATGCCGGAGAGCGAGCCCCGCCGAACCGCCCCCACTCTACGCTGCGGGCCCGTCGCCATCACCACAAAGAGCCCGCTGTGCGTCTCGCCGCGGACGTGCCGGCCGCCAACAGAGGCCATCATGATGCACCCGCCGCTGTTTTGTCAGCGACTTCAGCGCCGCTCTCGTCAGGGATTTCGGCGATGCGTCCGTCGGCGCCTTTTCCAAGCAATGGGGGCGGGCAGTGTGCTTGCGACGCCTTGCGCGTCGAGTCGGTAACGGATGGGGCGCGAGTTCGAGGAATTAATGTGTGGCGCCTGGGCTGATGTTCGAATGCGGGGTTTGCAGGAGAGCTGGCGCTGGGAGCTCCTCGACGACTAACCCTCGCCATCGTGAGTGGCAAGAATCTCCGCATAGCAGCTGATGGATGGAGCGCGTGGAGGGCGGAGAGTGCTCGAGCCCGGCCCGTCTCCAGCTCGAAATACAGCAGCGTAAACTCCGCCCGCGATTCTGGCTATACTGCCGTCGAAGACGAAGTAGAAACTCAATCAGCTCACCTATTGTTCCCCTCGCTGGCCATCCTGCGTATCGTCTTTTGTAGCGCTCGAATCCGTTCTGTCGCTCCTTAGAGGCGCTCGGCCTTGGTCAAACATACTCAACGTCCCAGCGCACCTCACACCGACCCGGTGGCGGACGGTCCGCACCTACGCTAATTGATCATTGTTTGGCCTTTTCCTGCAGGAACCGCCCGTTCGACTCGGGCCTGGGTCATATTTGTACCATTCGGTGTTTTTTGTTGGCCAGCGGTCTCTGTGCGCGAGTTGATCTCAGCCTTTTTATCCTAACCGCAACCCTTCGGCGAGCTGGCAATCTCATCCCTATTGCTTACAACTGACTATTACCTTGATATCGAATATTCAGATTCTCGTCGCATTACTGTTCATGAGATATTCCCTGAAACTGAGTGTGGCGTCCGCCAAAGGACCCTGCATATTCCGGGAAGCTTCGATGCTCATGCAGACTCGGCGGCAGATGGTCTGCATCTGCTTTCCATCACTCAGCCTTTCAAGTTCATAAGTATAGGCAGAAATCGCCCATTAAATGCGGGCTCGAGTCATTCGCCCGACAAAGTACACCTTCTTATCAAGGCATCCTCGGGGCTACATTTTTCTAGGGGGACGTCCGCCCTAGCTTCGTTTGCACGCGAACCATTGTGTGACAGATTGAGCAGGCCGGTGAGGCTGATGGCATTGACGTGAGAAATATGTCAAAAGGCAGTGCTGACACTCTTTCTTCCTTACCACCGCAACCTCCGACGATACGATGGATCCCCTGCCTATCTTCCCTCCGGAGCTGGAGCGAGAGATCTTCGAGACGACAGCACTGGTGCACCCCACCACAATTCCAGTGCTCCTGACAGTCTCCCGCCGCATTCATGTCTGGTGCGCTCCATTCCTCTCTCTGACAATGTCAAATATAACTTGATGGTGCTTCAGGATCGAGCCTTTTCTGTACAGACTGGTTCATGTGGGCAAAGATCCCCCATATTCAGCCATGGGTTCTGCCATTCTGCGCGCAACCAAGTCAAAACCGGCGAGTTTCTTCCACAACGCTGTCCGTCACCTGTTTTTAGACACATCCACCACTTGGACGTTCGACGAAGCTAGGGAGGTGCTCAAACTCTGTACAGGCCTCGTTGCCTTCGTGTCATGGGGAGATTATGCGGATCCTGCGCTGTTCCCAATACTCAAAGAACTGCCTCTGCGCCGCCTTTCCACGGACCTGCATTGCTTGTTTGGTGCATACGAGTCCATTGATCTCACACACTCGCTCTTCACGTTTATCACCCACCTTGAAATCTTCGATGCCATCTACGAGGACGACACCCGAATAATCACCCGCCTCCCGATGCTGCCCGCCCTCACGCATCTGCGCCTAAGCGAAAACGTGCCCTGGAAGCACATCGAAACGCTGCTGGCGGAATGTCCGCGCCTCGAGATCCTGGTCAGCCTCTTTCCGCGGATGAAGGCCCTGTGGGCCGTCCAGCAGGCACACACGTCTCCGGTCCAAGACCTACGTTTCGTGATAACTGTGTACAGAAATTTTGTGGAGACTTGGGAGGCTTATCGGACTCGGCCAAACTCCTGGTCGCTAGCGGAAGACTTTGTGTCGGCAAGGCGGAGTGGGTCTATCCATCGTACGCGGCGCATCTTCTTGATGGCAAGGAGTCTGTACTAATGTTATATCTAGCGAGACGTTGCTGGTTAAACCCCGAGAACCCTTCTGCATCCGAGTGGTTCTAACTCTGGCCTACCTAGGAGGAGATTGTTATATACCGAACATGAATATCGTGTAGCTTCTTTGACATACTTGGACAAGGTGTCGAGCCCAATTGGAGACCAGGACAGTTGGGGATGCTTTACTGGCAGAAATACGCCTGAGCTTGGATGTACGGAGACAGCTTTGCGAGGGGGAGCAAACGGGTAAACGTCGGCAATGATCTGTCCAGAAATTGTGAAAAGTTCGAAGTGCTCTGCGACTAATCTGCGACAATTCGAAGCGTGTGCCGTGGTCACTCCCTCATACAAAAAATAGCCCCGTACCTGGTGTTTACAGTGCGTTCAGCCTCAACTCTTAAGCTGGGACATAAAATCCACTTAAGTACCTTAGGACCATACATGGATTGACATAAACACATAAACAAACCCTGGAGTACAAAGAACCACGGGGAATAAATATCTTTCGATTCGTTGCCTGGAACCATATCCTCTCCCCTTTTAGACCTTCAAGTCGTGTTGGCCACTGTCGAATGATGTTGTGGGACTATCTAACCTATTGGGACCTGTAAGTTTCTGGTGTTGATCCAAGTTATCATCAACACCCGCAAGTCTTGTGTCAATACTGGCAACCAGACCCATAGCTTGGCACTGTTCAAACAGCGGGCCATGAAAGGACGCCGGCAATGTGTCCTCACTGATTCAGACAGAAAGACAGGAACAGTGATCTAGATTGTCGTAGTGTAAGTGAAAGACAAGATAGGAATACATGAAAAGAAATAGTAACCTAGATTGTCGTAGTGTAAGTGAAAGACAAGATAAAGAAGAACATGTGACATCAAAGGTTTAAATACTGGGATCAACCATCATTGATGGTTAGTAATAATTGGACCAGGTTTCGTCCACTGTTGTAAGTGCCAGATGTACAGGCAAGCATTTTTCCAGAGTCCAATTGCCTTGTCCAAATCTCCTCTTCGTTTTGCAATATCCCCCAGACGCAGCATACAGTTTGCTCGGCTACAATGAATATCCATCCATGTGAATGCCTGCAGTGATACTTCAAAAAGACTGTGTGCTGTGTCTTCATCACCTTGCAACATGAACACATCTCCCACCGACTTGAGTGCCTTGAGTAGTTCAAGCCTCTGGTGTTTTATCTTTGCATATGCCAGACATAGGACGGTCCATTTAGATGACCAAGCCAAGTCTGTGTTACTCCAACGATTGACATCAGCAAGTCGCTCCAAGGAGTAGGTCACAATTTCAGCAGCTTTGCCCCATGAAGACTTGAGACCCCGCTGGAACTCAATCTTTGCATCAGTAATCTTTCCTTCTCTGAGATGCAGATCTGCCAACACCACCACACAGAAATCTATGCCACTCGGGGCATGTATGGCACTGAATTCTGCTTGTGCTTTATCGAGGTTATGAGATACCTCAGCTGCAGGCCTCCCAGCTGCCACATCAATCATTGCAGTAGTGACCAGACCATAAGCATAATTCCATGGCTCTCTCTGGGGTGAGGTGCTATGCACAATTTCAATGGAGAGTCTACGAGCCTCAGCATACTCAAATCTTTTGTAATGATAATCTGCTTGACTCATCATTATACTATGATCGACCCCTCCATCACACATGCCACACAACTCCAACATCTCTCTTCCTTTCTGCCACAATGAAATGGCCGCTGTATTGTGGCCCAGCTGTGAACGACAGATTGCCTGAGAATTCAATGCCAGGGCTTCCTGGTATGTGTTTCCTGACAATTGTGACCTCTCCTGTGCTTCGAGAGCATCCCTTTGAGCGCCTGAATAATCACCTATGGCAATCTTCGTTTGGGCCATATTATTCAATATACGAGCCT